GAATTGAGCGATAATTTTAATTTTAATTCCTATTCTCGTTGTCTGTAATTGACTTTAAATGTGATCATCAAATAAATCAAATTTATTAGTATTTCGCAAACAAATTGTTTTATTAATTATCATGAAACTGATTACTGATTTTAGATTTGACAAAAACTAAATTAATATAATTATAAATTATAGCAATTATTGTTATACAGGTATCAGTTTGTTAACAGTACTGTATAAACACAATTAAAATACAATTGAAATTATAATATAAGAAATTTGTATTACAATCTGAATATCATAACAAGTCTATCGGCAATTCTACGGTAATATAAATGTGATTATTATGTGTTTCTTGAATGTACGCGTTTGTGATGATCCAGATCATATTGTCGTGTAAAAGGTTTGTTACAATTGCTGTCATTGCAGACAAATGATGTGAGTTTCAAGTGAATGCTATGTTTGTGTCGATTTAGGGTTGATTTCTGTGCGAATCGTTTGTCACAATCCATGATATCGCAGGCGAAGCGTTTCTCTCCCGAGTGGAGCCGTTTGTGAGGAATTAAATCCTTTTTAAATGCAAACCTTTGATCGCATCCTTTATAATCGCAATTAAATCTCTTTTCCTTCAAATGAACCAGAATTTTATGATATAAACATGAATGTTGTGCAAAACATTTGCCGCAATCCATTTCATTGCATTTGTAAGGCTTTCTTCCCGAATGTATGTTTTTGTGTTCATTGAGATCAAACTTCTCAGAAAACTGTTGACCACAGCCATCGACATCACACATGAATCTCTTGAGCTTCAAATGGACGGCACTTTTGTGTCGATTGAGATGTGATTTATAAGTAAATCGTTTGCCACATTTGGGCCAAAAACACACAAATGGTTGATCACCTGAATTAAGGGCACCATTACCTTCATTTGGTTCACAATTATCACTGCCTTCCCTCCCATCGCCTCCTTCTGTCAATTCTGAAGTGTCTTTGTGTTGGTCTCCGACACCACTCTCTCCGCCCTCTTCTGCTTCAGACATCTCTTCCGATCCTTTCCTCTCATATCTGTCTCTGTCGTCGACCTCTGTGTCCAAAGTCTGCACTTCTTGTGTCTCCTCTGACACCACATGTACTTCGGGTTCACCACAACTCTCATCAATAGCTCCATCCAATCCCATGATCTCCCGGTGCTCTTCTGGTTCACCATTCAATGGATTGTTATTTCCATTAATTCTCAACAAATTTCGACAATTTATTAATTCAATTGATTTGTCATTCAATTCATGACTATTGAGTGAAACATAGTTTGCATTCAATTGAGTGACTCTTTCACACAAATTATTATCAAAAGCCTTTAGATTTGATAATAAATTCAGTTTTGACTTCANTTGTCATTCAATTCATGACTATTGAGTGAAACATAGTTTGCATTCAATTGAGTGACTCTTTCACACAAATTATTATCAAAAGCCTTTAGATTTGACAATAAATTCAGTTTTGACTTCATTTGACCACTAATTGAATTATTAACTAAATTGTCACACATTTTGAGTGCAATTTAATGCAATTAAAACACCAATTGATTCACAATTATTAGTATAAATTTAAAAATGTGTTCAAAAATCACAAAATGATTAACTTTTCAGCAAACTTATACAAAACGGTTTTATTACAGTTTGTGAGTCAATACACGCCTAACAATTGAAAACTATTTCAATAAATGTTAAGAAACACTAATTTATGAAAACAGTTATTATTTATTTTAATAATCATTTTATATTCAAATTTAAAATTTATTTTAATCTTAATTTTAAAAGCAATTAATCAAATAAACAATTGAATTTTGAAATTAAGACAAATATACTGCAATAATAAATTTGTTTAACATTGCAAACATTATTTATAATTAGCTTTTTATTTGACCATGGATGTTTACAAAACTTTTAAATATAAGTCTATTTTAAATCATTGAGAATCGGCGGCGCACCTGAATCCCAGTGTTGCCGCCCTGTCCAGTGAGGGGGCCATTAATAGATACTTGTTATGCAAGTCCAACGTATACCGGGTCTCATTGGACGGGAAATACCACCTACTACCCTGAGCATGGTAATAACTTCCACCCCTGAGCACAGCATAGCGGGTGTGGTCGTCCACGTACTCATCAGTCCATTGCCATACACTCCCCACAGCGTGGAGGACCCCGAACGGAGACGAGCCATTCGTATATAGCGTGACGTCGGCGGGCGGTGTTAAGTCACGTCCCGTAACCGGTGGCGGCACACGACTGGCATCAAAAGTGTCGCCCCAGGGATACTTGCGTTGGTCGTGACCCTGGGCAGCGTACTGCCACTCCCACTCGTGGGGCAGTCGCTTACCGGCCCACCGGCAGTAGGCTCGGGCGTCATCGATTGACACCCAGGTGACCGGTTTGTATGCCCACCCATCGGGATAGTGACCCTGGTGCCAGTCGCGCACAAAATTGTGATTGTCAACCGGTGAGTATTTGGTATGACTCATAAATTGATTGTATTGCTCGTTGGTAACTGGCGTTTTATCCAGGTAAAATTTCTTGATGTCAATCACGTGTTTATGGTGTCGCGTTGGTTCCCCTTCCCACGGATACT